TTCATCAACGTTCTTTGGCAATGCCACACTCTGGGGATGTACGTGTATACGTATGTAATAATTCTGTCTTGTTCCCAGATCAAACAGATCCAACTGCATCCATCAGTGATATTTTGGAGTTAATCGTGGTAGTAAACGAATGGCCCAAATCAAAATCAAAATTTCAAGGACACCTACAAACTGGAAATTGACCATATTAATACATCGGTGGTTTGATGGGGTGAGTAATCCATAAATGCAAAAAGGGTTTCAATTAAAGAAGGCGTATTCATGGAGTCACCACATTTTGAATTGACTTTTGTGGGGCCAAGGATACGGAGGAGTTCAGTAGACTGGCCCCCAGTCTGGGGTAGTGTGTGGGATGGTGTTCATTACATTTAGCACCCTGTTCCTACAGCAGCACTCTGATCGATAACAAACTAACCAACAATGATGACAATACTTTGCAGGAGTTTTTAATACTGACATTTCTGATCACCTTCCATTTTTTCAAATTACTCCCTCTTTTTTCCTAGCTGCTGGCCCTGGTCCCAGAATTTACTTTGCAAGAAACATTAATAAAAGCACTTTGCGTTCTTGCTCTACAGATATTGAATCCACCGACTGAACTGAAAATTAAGAATGCCAGCACGCTTGCATTGCCTATGATACTTTTATACTCTCTTCACGGAAAAGTACAATCCACATTTCCCTCTTGTCTCTAAAGTACTTACAGGAAAAATACAACTAAACAACCCTGGATCACCGAAGCTATTATCAACTCAGGCTGCAACCACAAAGATAGGCTGTACCGGCAATACTTATGCAACCCTTCCAAAGCCAATAGATGTCTATACAGATGCTATTGCAATCGCCTGACCTCTATCATTCGACTTGCTAAGAAAAACTACCACATACATAATTTATTAAAAAATGATGTAAAAAATACTTGCCGAGAAATAAACAAAATTCTTGGGAAGGATGCTAAAGCAAACGTCCCAAACTGTTGCACTGATGGTTGGTCCTTCACTTGCAAGCAAAATACATACTACTAATAAACATTTTTCTGATTATCTTCATACTTCTAACTCTGCAAGTTTCTTCCTTAATCCCACAGATCCTACCAAAATCATTGATGCAGTGAAAACTCTCCAAAGCGGTACCAGTTGTGGTTTTGATGACATTCCTGTCTCTGTAGTAAAATATGTTGCTCCATTTATATCCTGTCCTCTCCTCTGCCATCACTGCTACAGTATTTTTGCAACAAAATTTATAACATGCCTTCTTGGTGAACTTTGGATGTCTGATGGGGAGGTTTGGCTTAGTCACCTCATTAGGCCCTGTATCCTCATTAAAATGGTGACATTCTTGAGTATTTTGCCCATCTGCACTTCAGAAAGTCAGCAGCATGTACTCTCAATCACTGTCGGCTGCATGACAGCTTGACCAATTGCTACAATGCTCCTATCTTTTCCTGGTTTTCCTGACCCTATCAAAATGAAAGCTGACCTATGATTAGTCATTGGAATGGAAACAAATTGAACCAGTCACAGTGGGTGGTGACAGGAACACAAAAAGGAAAAGATAGGAGTTGTGTTGTGAATGGCCAAGCTGAGGGCTTTACTTTGAGTAAGTTCAGAGTAAATGATGGCAAAGTAAGAGATGGCAGAGTAAGTGATGGCGGAGTAAGTGAGGGCAGAGTAAGTGAGGGCAGAGTAAGTGAGGACAGAGTAAGTGATGGCAGAGTAAGTGAGGGCAGAATAAGTGAGGGCTGAGTGAGGGCAGAGTAAGTGATGGCAGAGTAAGTGATGGCAGAGTAAGTGAGGGCAGAGTAAGTG